GTGGAATAAAAGACATACATAAATATAATATATTATATTTATATCAATATAATACAAAATAACTTTGCTAAATACAAGAGCACTCCAAAGGAAGTGCTACATGAGGTGTAAGGGGGGAAAAGATCATTATTATTGGGAGAATTGTAGAAACCTTCATGGAAGAAATCACATTTGATACTGACTTTAAAGAGTTTTTGGAAATAAATAGAAAAAGACTGAAGAAAGAATTTCAGGTGTAAGGATCACCATGACATGGATAGGAGTATAAAGTTTGGCTTTGGGGATTAAATGGGCAAAGCATTAAGAAACTTTCTTGGTGAAATAACAAGCAGGATGTTTTCAGAAAAACCTGGAAAGACTTACATGAACTGATGCAAAGTGAACTGAGCAGAATCAGGAAAACATTGTAAACAGCAATAGCAATACTACATAATGATTGACTGTGAATGACTTATCTATTCTCAGCAATATAATGATCCAGGACAATTTCAAAGAACTTATGATGAAAAATGCTAGCCATCTCCAGAGAAAGAACTGATGGAGTCTGAACATAATTTTTTTTACTTTCTTCCTTTTTTTTTTTTTGGTCTGCATTTTCTTTTGTAACATAGCTAATATGGAAAAATCTTACATGACTGCACATGTATAATATATATCAAACTGCTTGCCTTCTCAAGGATTAGGGAGGGGAAGAAGGGAGGAAATAATTTGGAACTCAATTTTTTTTAAATGTTAAAAATATTTTTACATTTAACTGAGAAAAAATAAAATTAAAAACAAACTTCCCCAAAGTTAAATAAACCATTTAGTTGAGGGTTTTTTTAAAAATAAACTTTCTTGGCAAAAATCACTTTTTGGTGGGCAGTCAGAGTGGGAGGAAGGAAGCTAAGTGTCATTTCTTGAAAGGATCCATCTGTATACAGTTTGTAATTAGCAAAACAACAACAACAACAACAACAATAATAATAATAATAATAATAATAATAACCAGGTCAGGGACCAGACCTATAATTTCATGAATATAGGCAACTCCCCAGTGGGTAAACTCCCTCTAGCAATATAGCTCACACCATGTCTGCAACTTATGGTCTTAGAGAATTGCCTAGAGTTCTGTGATAGGTTAAATGATGCAGACAGCTCAATGATGCCATCATGCACTTCACTTAGTAATAAAACTTAGTAGATTGGATGGCATGCCTCACTAGCTTACTAACTCTGGCATAGATGGAAAACAGATTGAACCTCCTGGCTTTTGGGGATCATAGATTAGAATTGTAAGGGATCTCAAAGAATGATCTTTAGACCTTAGATGATCTTTGGAGTATGTTCCTGCTCTATGATTCAATGAATATGCTTCAGAGGTCAATTAATTTCAATAAGTATAGCATATTCATATTAAATAGAAGTTCTTAGCTTGGAAACTAGTAATAAAAGTAGCAATTTCTTAAAAAAAAAAAAACCAGACCTTGTTCAAAGAAAATTAGGCAACCCTTTATGATTGGTGCCTATTTTTTATTCAATAAGAAGAAAATTTATTATCCCTGGTGATAAGCAAAAAAAGCAAGTTAATAGCAGGGAGTTCTATTGCATATGAATTAAAATGCAAGGTGTCCAATGTGACTATTATCATATATTACAAAATCAAAATCAATTACGCACTCAGTGTGAAGTACCAGTAAAAATGAAAATGGTTACCAAATTGCAAAAAAATAATTTGAGAAGCACAATTTTTATTAGCTACAGATAATCTGGTTTCCAGTTTCATCTTTTTTTGTAGGTACGGAACCTTCAAATGTCCATACCCTAATGTGCTATTGCAACTCCTAAATCTGGTGCCAAGATGACCCTGGGTCTTTTAGGTTTATTCCAGCACAGCAAAAGTTCTTACAGGTTATAAAGTTAAGGAGACTTCAAGTACAAGTTAGCATATGGATGTATGTTGACCAAGATTTATCCTAGCTATGTTCAGAGAAATTTTGGACCATAAAGTTCATTAATAGGTAATAAATTTTATTCATCTACAGCATGAAGATTGACTATTAAGGCAAGTCTAGGGGTAGAGAGGGTCATCCAAATCAATGAAGAAGACTCCATATTGAGGAAATACAGAGTCCTTGAAGTATTGAAGTTAATCATGATGCTTAGCTTTTCATCACAGGAGTATTAACCGAGTCTTTTTTTTTCCTCCTTCCTTTTATTGTCTGATTTCAGCCAATTTGCTACTCATTAGTGTCTCCATGAATTGGTGGATAAGATAAAAACAAAGAAATTGAGTTTTGTCAATTTAACTGCGATAACAAGTCTGGCAAAAGTTTTCTTTTGGGGATGAAATAAAAATTATTGGTTAAAAAGAGGTTTGGGATCTGTGTATTACAGCTATTGCTAAACATTTATTAATAACTAATGTGTTCAAGTTATTATATAGGGCACTGGGCTTACAAAGATATCTCTGACAAAAAACTTTGCTCTCTAGGAGTTTAAAATCTAATTAAGAGGGAAAACATTCAGAAATAACTACAAAACATAGGAGAGTGAGATAATTAATATTTACATAGTCTTTTCAAAATATAGGCTCAAGGAAAACGCTTGGAAATTTCAGTGTAGAACACATTCACCTGGGGAGGGACAGAAACTGTGTGTGTGTCTGTTTGTCCATCTGTGTGTAAATGGCTTCCTAGAAAAGGTATTAAAAGTACTTTTTCTCATTAGCCCAATTGAATTCAATTGAATATTAATTCAATCAAATTTATATTGCTGTTCTTAAATTTTTTATTTTATTTTCAATTTTAAACTCTCTCCTTCCTCTGACTCTTCTATCCATACAGCAGTTTTTAAGTTAAAAGAAGTTTCCTGCATAGAAACAGGGTCTGGTTTTGAGAAGGAAGGGAACATTCTATGAAGAAAGGTGATATACTGGAAGTCGTCAGTAGCATGGAATTGAAAAGTAGTGAGATGTAGAACCAGACTAAGTCTTACCTTTAGGAAATTACCTCCGCAAAATTATTTTAGACATGAAACCTTTACCTCCACTCCCTCCATTTCTTCCACTTCTAGCTGAAGCCTAAAAACTTTACCCTTTGTTCCCTTGAAATGGAAAACTTTCTGGGAGGGATAACACAGCCTTTTTGTTGTTGTTCAGTTATGTCCAACTCTTCATGACCCCATTTGGGGTTTTCTTGGCAGAGATACTAGAGTGGCTTGCCATTTCCTTCTCTAACTCATTTTACAAATGAGGAAACTAAGGCAAATAAGGTTAAGTGATTTGCCCAGGGTCACACAACTAGTAAATATCTGAGGCTGGATTAGAACTCAGGTCTTCCTGACTCCAGGCTTGGTGCTTTATCTACTGTGACAGCCTCGTAGAGTAGAAAGAACACTTCGGGAATCAAAGGACCTAAGTTCAAATCTAGCCTCTGATGCTTCTTGTGTGGTTTCTAAGAAGTTACAGTCTCTCTGGGTGTCAATTTTTTTCTTTCTCTAATGATGGGTTTGAATCAGATGGCCTCTGAGGTCTCTTGCAGTTTGAGATCTATGATCTTAGCTTAGATCAGATCACTTTCAAGTTATTGTGAAAGGATTTATCAGATTATTGCCAGAGAGTGGAGGGTTAATGAGGTGGGGCATGCAGGAGGAGAGAATACCAGGAAGGCATTGGCCATCTGGGATGATAATAGGAGGCTGGGAAGATGAAGGATTAAATTGAGAAAAGATTTCTCCACTAGAGCTGGCCTGAAAGGAGAAATTGGAAAGAAGTAAAACCAGAAGCATGAAGAAAAGGCAGAAACTATAGACTAAAAGTGAAACAGGATGACAAAATTTAATCATCTCGGATTTTAAAAACTATAAACAAACAAATATCAAGTAAAAAGAGTTATTTACTCAATGATGCCTCAGATTGCTACTGAACCATACACTGTACGTATTGTCATAGTAATCTCGTAGAATCTAAGCTCCTTAAGGGCAAGGGGATATTTCTTTTTTTGTTTGCTTGTTTTGTTTAATTTTGTGTTCCATGCATCCAGCATACCCAAAATAAATGTTTGTTTGTTGAATTGAATTAACCTAATTAAAGAGTTCTCCAAGAGAGATTACCCTAGGTGCTTCTTAAAAGCAAGTATTTTGCATAATAGGAACAAACTAAAGATTAATTTCATTTTTCCTACCTCACAGTTGATTATGAAATAACTCAAAAAGCTCATATTTCATACACACAATTGAATTAAGATTTTGTTCTTTTTTAATGCCTTGCAAATTAAGTCCTCAAACACTTTGATATTTCAGCAGGTTACGCATATAAGCAAAAATATGCTCCTTTTTCTTTAGCAAAGGGCAATGCAGACTTTCTTTCAAGATTTTAGAACAGCATTCATTAAGCTGTGGTTTAAGCCATTTTTTCTTCAACTTCAATTTCCACTTTCTAAGGCAGTTGATTTTTTAAGAAGAAAAATGACTTCCCCCCAATAATAAAGGAATTATTTTGTAGTTGTTGGAAATGAGGCCTTTTGGACACAAAATAACAAAAACAAAACTCCTACAAAGAGAAGATACTACACAGTGAAAGCAGGACTCAAAACACTTGCAAGAAAAACTCTGAATTCCAAGAAAGTAAAGTGTTTTTTTTTAAAGTACTATCCAAGATTTAAAACACAATTCATTTGAGAACCCTATATTACAAAAGAAATGTTTCCAATTATTTTGTATTCAGTATAAAGAGATTTTACTCAATAGAAGGTAGAAATAACACAAGATTTCAAGCAGTGCAAATTTGTAACACGTGAACACATACACCCACATACACACACCAATTCTTTTATAAAGAACAAGATACCAACAACCAGAGATATTCAGTCCTCTGTAAATGAACTATAAACAAAACCATATTTAACAAAGTATGACTATCTATACCATACTGTCTGAAAGCCTGTCATTCAAACACATTTACCATTATAGTATTCAAAATAATAAAAACCACAGTCTTATGAGGATACCACACAGGTTACCTGATTGGTCGATTCTCTTTGCTATCAAAAAGTGAGAAGATGACTTCCAGCTCTTCACCCAAATTGGAGCACATCAAACTCTTCATCTGTACGAAGAGGTGGTGGCTGCTCGCCTGTACAGGAGTGTCTTTCTTCCTGTGTCGGTGCTCCATCTGAATAACACCCACCCAAATTGAAAACAGGATCAGCACAGGCCAAGCAAAGTCAAATGCCCCATCAGATCAAAGGGGAGGAACAGAATGTGAGGCAGTTACAATTTCCCAATATAACATAAAACACGTAACCATGAATGACTGATCTAGTTGGAAGAGAAATCCCAGTTTTTTCTTACAGTACCCAAATTGGTTTAATGGAAAACCAAGAGCTTTTATGTGTCAAAATTAGGAATAATGCAACTCACTAAAAAAAAAAGTTAATGGATCATTAGTCAACAATTCCAATCAGGTATATGTGGTATTATTAAAAAGAGCTCAAAACTTAAGTCATGGGAACTGAGTTCAGATTCAAACTCTATACACTATTCACTACCTGAGAGACTTTAGGCAAATCACTTGTCCTTTCTGGATCTCAGTTTCCTCATCTGTTAAATAAAAGGGCTGGGTTAAGATGACCTTTGAGGTTGCTCCCAGCTCTTGATCTGGGTTCCAGGATCTAGTCTCACCAGTTTACTTCCTGAAAAAATGACACTAACTATGTAACTTTTAGAATAGTGAAAGAAAAACAACAAAATTATTCAAATCTCTATGATCATTCCAATCATTGTAATTTGGAAGGGTATGTTATGAAGTAAATATACACTAAAAACGTAAGGAGTAAGATATTGAATTATAAGTACTTGAAAAGCATTGTGTTTCTCTAAGATTTTCTGTGGCAAACGAATATGCAATTACTGGAATTTACTTAACACTTTCTTTTGTATCTATCATACTTGACATGATGTTGTATATTGTCATTATCTATGGACATGTATCTCCTGCTGGACTTTAAGCTCAAAACTTGACGAAAAGGCTGATGTCACAGCTAAGCTCTGTATCTTCATACAAGCCTTTTTCAGTGCTCCGCATATAGGAGGTGCTTAATAAGTGTCTGTGAATAAATACATAAAGGAATTACACCCATTAAAATGCAGATTATCCTAGAGATCTCCCGCTTCCACCCACCAAGATAACTCATAATACAGAAGAGAGTGAGAATAAAAATTAATATTGCAATAACCTCTTGGGAGAAGAAATCATTGGTGGTGCTAAGAAATACAAAGAGGGGAGACAGAAGTAGTCTTGAGAATACACAATCTTACTCCACTTGCAAAAATAATAATAGCTAACACTTAGACAGCTCTTTAAGCTTCGTAAAGCATTTTCCATATATTTTCACATTTGACATTCACAACAGCCTTGCGAGGAAGTTGCTGTTATTTTCTCCATTTTACAGATGAAGAAAATAAGGCTGAGAAAGGTGAAGCAATTTGCCAAGGCTCCCACAACTATTAAGTATCTGAGGCAGGATTCAAACTCAGGCCTTCCTGAGATGACAAAAGGGGAAAATAGTTTGGCCATCACTGTCTGGCAGTCCCTAAACAGTAGTCCAGCATTTATAACTTCTCAATAAGTAGACACTGTTTAAGGCTAGTTGGATAATGCTATAACTTCAGTTTTACCTTAGTTATTATAAAAGCTATAATTCTAATTTAATTGCAAATGCATTTCAAACATGTAATCTAAAGGGGTAAATGTAATCATCACCACAGATTGATTTTTACTTCAGAACAAAAAAAAATACCTAAGATGAGTCTGTTTGCTAGAAAAAGATTTTGAAAAATCTTATGACATACAGGCACCAATATCTTCCAGTTCTTACTATCTTTTATCATTAATTGGATCCACTTGAAATATCAAACTTATAAAACTGCAATCAACTAGATAAATTCATCATCATAATAAATTTAATAGGGGCAAAGAATATGTCCCTGGGGTGGAGGGTGAGGGGGAGAAACAGGAGGAAAAGTTGTTAAACCATCAAGAAACTGGGCATGGCAGGAGCTCTGCTTGTTTCCAGTTAACTCTTTAAAAAGGCATCTGGTTAGCAAAATCCTCACCTACAGTCTGAGTCAAATATCCTCTTCCTCCCCTCCCCCCAGCTCCCCACCAATATGACTCTATTTTTATGCACTGACATTTGGTTTGGAAGCAGAAATAAAACCTAAAAAACTTGCTGTCTTCCACTCAATATTATAAATCTCCACCCCTTGCCCCAAAAAGTTTTCATTTTGACTTGATGGGGGAAATTCCTGACTTATTTGAAGCCTGGGCTCCCAAAGTAAAAAGCCGCTGGTGATTAGTCTGAAGATAAATTTTAGGGTGTGGAGAAACAAATCTGGATCTGGTTAAATGACAATTTTCTCATTTTTAGCCTAACCTGTGTTTTCATTGTTATATAGGGAACTCCAAAAGAGGGAACCCCCTTTACCAGCGCAGATCCACACCGATTCCCCAATTCATATTCAAGAGAACTGTCTCAGGTCCTGACAGATTAAATGCCTCCCCCAGAGTCCTGAAGCCACTATGTGTCAGAAGCTGGCTCTAAGGCTGACTTCTGTATCCATTGTACCATAATGCCTGGGTCATCTCTTTCAAATTAGTTGCTGTAGGGAGCTGTTGAAAATATTTTTAGGAAGGCAACATTACAGTAATAGGGAGAAAATCAAACTGATTCCAATTCATTTTGTAATTGATTCTATTCTTTATCACCCCCAATATGTTGTAAAATTGTCTAAGCCACATTTCTTTGTCTGACTGTTAAGTTCAGAAGTTCAGCTTTCCTTTCTGAGATAAGTTGTCTCATAAATCACCTTAATTCTATGGAATATATTGTCTCTACACATCTTACTGCCCATGTACAATTAAGGGAGATCTGTTATCTTGCTAACAAGCCTTGCAAGACGCAGGCGAATGCCAGGAAATCTGTTATCTCTGCAGTGCTGGCTGTCCTTCAAGAAAGTCTGAACTGTTATCCCTGTGACTCTTAGCTAACCATGCAGGTGGATACCACCAATGAGTTTTCCATAGCAACAAGATGGCAGGAGGGGTTGTTGCTAGCCCTGCATTTCTGACTTCCATCCAATCATATTCTTTTCCCTCTTCTATGATGTTTTGAACTTTGTAACCAATAATATTGTTTTATACTTCCTGTTTCTCATTTTCTTATACTTCCCAAAACTACATGAAGGACAGTAAGCTCTACCTCATGGTCTTTTGACTGACTGAGGAGCTGAGAAAACATATTTTTGATAATTACTATCCTTATCAATAAATTGAATATGCTTGGAACTTTGTGCCTCAGTTTACTTTAATTTCAATCACAACAATGGCAAGAGTAAGAAATTGTAGAACTGAGGATCTGATGCCTCTGGTGACTACTACCTCTGTGACTGGGCAAGTCGCAACTTCTACGGGCCTAAGTTTCCCCATCTATAAAAGTAGAGATTTGGACCAGATGGCCTCAGGGTCTTTTCTAGATTCTAGAGCCTTGATCTTATGAATGATAATGTCAGACCCATGTAACAAACAGCTTAATCATGTGGAGATGATCTATTTCCATACCCCCTTTGCTGAATTTTAGCTATGGCCTTCCCTTAAAACAATCAAAATACTCCCAAGATTCCTTAGGTGGATTCAATTCCAATTCTTATAATGAGCTCATTGTTAGACCCAAATTATTCTGCTTACCCTCCAAGGATCACAAGGCGTGTTGCCAAAATCACCCTTTTGCAACGTAAAAAATAATCCATTTTGATACTCCGTAGGCAGAAATAGCAAGAATATTTAAACAGGAGAAAAAAGAGACCATGGGAAGAATTGCTTTTTAGCCACTCGAGAGATTTGTGTTTGGTCTTCTGGCACCAAGGAAAGCTTTCCAAGGAGACATATGTTAACGCTATGAGGTCTAACACATTTCATTACTCAAAGAAACACAACTAGGTGAAAATGAATTGCCAAGTGTGATGGCCTAAGCCTAAAGTCAGATAATTCACCTGGTGTTTTAATCTGGATTTCAGAAGAGGCAGCCCAGAGACCTGTGTCTCACATATGATTGAGGAGTTGCTCATTGCAAAAGGGCAGGCCTCAAAGGCATAGTAACTAACACAGAAACATTCCAAAGGCTTGATGGAATTATCTTGGTGAAAATGTCACAGTAGTAGGTTTTTCAGTGATCCTTGATGCCTAGAAGACGGAGGGATTGTACACGGTGTCTTTCAGTTCTATAGAGTCTGGCCTTTACTCCTGAAGAGAAAAACAAACTAGTGTCACAGTGACCTGTCTTCTCACCCTAATGAGACTGGGATACCACAGCATGCTAACGAGGTCATATAGTATAGCAGAAAGAGCATTTGTGTTCCAATGTAAGACTTAAGTTTGAATTTCAGATCCAACCCTAGCTTTAAATCTTCACAAGTCATTTTGCCTCAACTGTAAAACAGAGATAATTTTTTAAAAAAAAGATATAAAAAGGGCAGCTAGGTGGTGAAGTGGATAGAACACCAACTCTGTAGTTAGGAAGACCTGAGTTCAAATCCAGCCTTGGACACTTGACACTTCCTAGCTTTGTGACCCTGGACAAGTCACTTAACCCCAACAGCCTCAAAAAAAAAAAAAGAAAAGAAAAGAAAAAGAAAAGATATAAAACAGAGATAATATTGTTTGGCCTAACTTCACCACAAGGAAATTTTGCATGAAGTTCTTTATAAAATGCTAAGTATTAAATAAGGTAGCTTGGTAATACAGTGGACAGAGTGCCAAGCCTGGAGTCAAGAAGACTCTTCTTCCCAAGTTCAAATCTGGCCTCAAACACTTACAAGCTTTATGACCATGGACAAGTCACTTAACCCTGTTTGCCTCAGTTTCTTCACCTGTAAAAGGAGCTGGAGAAGAAAATGGCAAACCACTCTATTATCTTTGCCCGTAAAACCAAAAAGTCAGACACGACTGAAACAACTGAACAACAAAAAATACTAAACAAATTTGAGTCATCAGGAAGGGGCCTGACTTGTATTTGAAGTGGAAAGAATACTGGATTTGGAGGCAAAGGAACTAAGTTCAAATCCCAGCTCTACTCTGGGCAAGTCCCTTAACCTTTTGGGGCCTCAGTTTCCTCA